CATCCCCGCGGGGCTGCGTGGCGTCCGCCGCTACCTGGACAGCGCGCTGCAGGAGAAGGAGTTCAAATACACGTGTCCGCACAGCGCCGAGATCCTGGCGGCCTACCGGCCCGCCGTGCACCCCCGCTAGCGCCCCACCCGCGTCTGTCGCCCAATAAAGGCATCTTTGTCGGCAGTGAGGGTGTCCTGACATCTGAGGAGTCTCGTGATCACTTCCCATCCCCAAACCCCAGGGTGGGACGCTCAGCCTGAGAGCCCAGAACCACAGGGGCAGGAGAGCCGGGGGTCGGGCAGGTCCCATCCTCCATGTTAAGAAAGCGCAGACTCCAGGTCTCCTGCAACCGGTGGCCTCAGGGATCTCCAGGACCGGATTGGGCTCCCAAACCAGTCAGGCCGGGGTGGGGCGGGGTGCCCCAGGTGGATAGGGGCTGGTACATTCCTCAATCCTGTCCGGGGGCAGGCACTCCCCTCCCCGCAGGGCACTTCCACAGCATCTCAGGGTCTGCACAGGCCTTCTCCTGTGTGCATCCTCCTACGGGGCTCCGTGCCCTGCCTGGGTGCGGCCTGGGAGGGTGGGAACAAAGTTCTAAGCCTTGGGGAGCCCTGGCCCTGCCTGGCTGGGCCCCTCTCAGCTCCTGGGCTGGCAGGGCTGGAATAGCTGGACGGTCTGAGAGTGCTCACCTCCCTCCGGCCCAGCAGGGAAGTCTCCAGGGAACTGAGATGCTGCAGCATCTGTTCACATCCTGTGGCCCCACACCCAGCGTGCAGGCCCAGGGGCATTCCCTGATCCCTTCCCAGGCCAGTGCCAGGAGTCAGAGCCCCACCAGAGCCTCCAACAGAGGGAGCGGTTTATTTGACAGGGAAGGAACTCGAGGAGACGCCTTAGTCCTGGCCCAGGACAGGCAGGTGGAGGTGGTGGTGTGGAGGGGGGATCTCTGATGAGGGCCTCGAAGACTGCCTGTCCCCTCACAGGCAGACTCCCCGTGGGGCCACACTTGTGCTGCACCTTCAGGTCTCATCAAAGTCCACGCCACCAGCTGGTTTCTTACTGAGAAGGAAGAGGGGTGTTACTATGGCACTATGGTGTGGAGAAAGGGGTGGGGTCCAGGGTTAGACCCTGGGTGCAGGAAGGGGCCGGTGGGCGGGTACCTCTTGAACCCAGGGTTGATGAGCGACTCTCCTGGACACCGCCTCCTGACCCCAGGTCCAGGGCCACCTCTCTGGGGATCTGGGTCTGTGGGAAAACAGGATGGGGAGGCTCCTGAACCTGGCAGCATCCCAGCCACAACCTTCTCTGAATAGGCAGGCATTCTCTCTGGAGCATGAGGCTTATTCAGGGGAAACTGAGTTCCAGATTAAAGCGCACATCCCTACTTGAGTCACAGGCGTACGTGCCTTACCTGGTAAGAAGAGCTGAGGCCCTGCAGGCCGGGGACTCTTCCTGGGGCTGGCAGCTGTCTCTTCTGCAGCTGGGGAGGAAAGCCCATGGGAACCCCACTGAGTGCCAGGAGTGGGGGCAAGAGCAGGGGACCCCAGTGAAGGTGTGAGGTGCCCACCCCAAATCCTACCTGCCAGTCGCCGCTCCAGGCTCCACACGCGTTTTGCCAGGCCCAGTGTCAGCGCCTGCAGTCTGGAGGCTGCCTCTGGGCATGGTACCTTGGAGAGGTCAAAGGCCAGTGCCGAGGGGCCTCCTGAAAGGGTCAGGGATGCTCTGTCCTCCTGCAGGGTCAGAGCCACAGCTTGCTGCTCACAGGCTGCCCTGGAAGAGGAGAGGTGCTGAGAGCTGTGACAGACCCTCCTCCTCCCCACCCACCTTCCTCCCTGCTTGGGTCTCACCTGAACCGGGGGGTGATGTCCTCAGCCGCACTCAGACCAAAACGGGCTTTCTAGAGAGCACAGGTGCTTGTCACCAGCTGCCTGGAACCCGAGATCCACTGGGAGCACCCGAAACCTGCCCGACCCCAGAGCCACTTGGGACCCCTAGCCAATGTGAGGACTACAGCTACAGGGCGGGCAGAGGGTGTGAGAGCCTTCTGGGGAATCCCAGATGTCGGTCACCCCAAACACGATCTGGACTGCAGGGAGGGGTGTGGCGGCTCCCAGACCCGCCCAGTTACCCACGAGGGCCGCCAGGCTGTCCGGCGTGAAGCAGGTGCTCCAAAGCTCCGCGGCGTCGGTCACGCTGGGGGAGAGGGCCTGTCAGGCGGGGCCGCCCGCGCAGCTCCCCGCACTCCTATCTCCCCGCGGACCCCCCACTCACTAGAGGTTGAAGCCGCCACCGTCCCCCTCCCCGCTTCCTTCCCCTTCGCAGTAGCACACGAAGCGGGGCGGCTCGGGGCCCGGCGGCAGCGTGCAGAGCGGCGGCGACAGCGGATCCATGGCGCCCGGTGAGCGGGAACCCGGCGGGGCGGGGCTAGGGCGCCGGGAGGGGCGGTGCTCTGCGGGCCCAGGGCTCCTGCGCGGAAGAACGACTTCCGGAGCCGGGTGCAGGCCAGTCGCGGGCTTAGGGAGCTTGCGCGGGGCGGAGTCTGACTGGGGGCGGGGTCTTTAGGTGGAGGCGGGGTTAGGGGGTTGGGTTAGGGGCGGAGCTAAAGACACAGGCCGGGCCTGGAGGACCTGGTACCCACGCAGGCTTCAGGCGACTAGAGGCCGGGTTTAGTGCGCGGGGTGGGCCGGAGCAGGGCGTCCTCGGTCAGGGATCCAGAGGCCCTGCCTCTAGCGCTGACCTCGCCGGGCGTGGGCTTCGCGGCGGGATCCTGGGCTCTGGCCCTCGCGCCCGCGAGCAGCCCCACTCGAACCTCGCCCCCTCCCGCCCCCGCCCCGGCTCCACGTCCAGCCGAGTCCGGGTTCCCTCCGTGGCGCTGCGGGCACATCCTGGAGCCCCGCCCTTCCATCGTCTTCACACACCAACGGGAAGCTTCCTAACCCTCATTGTGAGAAGTTATGGTTGGCCCGGCAAGGTGACTCACGCCTGTAATCCCAGCACTTTGGGAGGCCAAGGCGAGCAGATTGCCAGAGTTCAGGAGTTCGAGACCAGTCTGGCCAACATGGTGAAACCCCCTCTCTACTAAAAACACATAAAAATTAGCCAGGTGTGGTGGTGCACGCCTGTGAGGCAGAGGAATTGCTTGAACCAGGGAAGTGGAGGTTGCAGTGAGCCGAGATCGCGCCACTGCTGCACTCCAGCCTGGGTAACAGAGTGAGACTCTGTCTAAAACAAATGAAAAAAGAAGTCACAGTACAGAGCGATCCCCAGGGAAGAAGACTTCTGTGCTCTCTGTCCTGCCCATGGTATTACTCCAGCTCCTCCTACGTGCCTGTTGTCCTAGGCCTGGACATCAATCAACAGACAAGGTCTCTGACTCCCTGGAGCTTGTAGGATCCAATAGGAGAGACACCACACTCTCAGGCAGGGCCAAGCGCCAGGAGGAACTGCAGCGGGTGCTATGAGGACAGGAGGAAGAGGATGGCTCCCACCAGGGACAGGGAGATCCCACGCAGAGGCCTGGCCACATAAACAACAGTTCTGTTCAAGGCTTGGCAAGAAGGCCAGGTTGGCAGCATGGTGCTGTGGGGAGGGTCAGTGGGGTTGTAGGCTATGCTTCTGTATGGGAGTGCTCCCACAGCAAGCCTGCCTCACCTCCTTCTGCCTCCCAGTTCACTCCCAGTCCTGGCTCCTGCACCCTGGGTCTCTGCACATGCTGCTGTTTCTGCCTGGCACACCCTTTCCCCAGATTCACATGCCTCCTTCGGGTCTTTACTCAAAAGTCACTTCAGCGAGCCCTTCCCTGGTGGTGGTCTGACATTTCAGCACGCTGCCCAGCTCTCACGTCCCGCTCTCCTGTCGTTTTCTTATTTTTCACCCTTCTCATTGTAGAAAGTACACTTTGGCTTGCTTTATTCTGGCAGTTAGCCCCCTGTTATACCCTCCTGGGTTTAGACCTTTCTGCATTCCCCTCCCCTTGGGCTGGACTTAATTAACAACTTGCTTCTGGCAACCGGAATAGGACAAAATTGCTCTTGAATTGCTGGGTGTGACAAGAGGCAGCCCTAAGGGGATGCCGATGGCCAGCAAGGGAGCTGGGAAGCTGACGCCCCAGCTGAGCCTTACTATGAGACCACATCATCGGCCGGCAGCTTGACCACAGCCTCCTGAAACTTTGTGCCAGAAGCCCAGAGTCCTGCCCTGCTGACACTGGGAGATAATGCACTTCTGCTGGGTTAAGCAGCTGCATTTGGGGTAACCTATCACTCTAGAGTAAGTGACCAGTACACTTATTTATCCTGCCTATTGTCCATCACCCCAGGAGGTCCATGAAGACAGGGATTTCTGTCTGTTTTACTGCCAGTGTATCTGTCTTTTCAGCACTTACACAATGCCTGGCACGTACAGACAATGAATAAACATTGTGAATGAATGAATGAAGGGGGAGTGGCGGCTGTTGGAGGTTTAAGCATGGGTGGATGGGAAGTGGCACGTCTGACTTATGTGTGTGAAGTCTGTATTCTGTGCTGTGAGGAGAGAGGA